CATCTTCTCTGAATTATCAAGCTAAATAAACATTAAATTAATTTTTCTATTTATTGTTAAATTCTTTTTCAAATGGTATTTCTGATTTCAATAATTATAATATTTTAGTAGTTTTTTATTGAAAAATTAAAATCGTTATACAACTAACAGGATCAATAAATAATGAAATTGAAATATGATTACCAACTGATATTAATCACCAAATCTTGAATTTTATTTTACTATTTTATTAATTAATAATATCTTCATTTAGTCAAAATGTAACTTATATTATAAAATCAAATAAAGTCTCCAAAATTATCTATAATTAATTTAGAAGTTAAATTTATCGAAATCTAATCTTATCATGATTATTTATTTTGTAAGGATTTTAAAATTAGCAGTCATTGTAATTATAGACGCTGAATCTGTTATTACCAGTTACTTTTAGAAGTTTATTTCAACTTAAATTTATAAATAGTTATGAAACTAACTAATAATTGTTTCTTAATGTCTTATTCATACAATGCTAAAGCAACCATAAATATTTACACATCATATATATTTTGGATCCAACCAAATTAAAGTTAATCTATATTTAATTTTCTATATAATTTATTTGATGTTATCTCTATATCTCTATTTGAAAATATCTATACTAAAAGCATAATATCAATAATAAAGATGATAAAATTTGCATTATTTATTTTAAAAAAATGTATGTCAAACTAACTCTACTAATGATAATACTGCTAGGATAAAATGAATGTCAAAAGGTTTTGGAATTCTTTTCATCCATAGATGAAACTTTTACAGATTTTGATGATATTTAATTATATTTAATTATAAGAAATTAGGCTAGAATTTAATTTTTATTTAATTTAATGGTAGACCATTAGGTGCTGATGCATAAAATTAGAAATATTAGAGATTTTTTTTTATATTCAATCCCATGTCCAATTAATTATAAAATTTGCTAACCAATAGACAATCAGGAAATTGATTATATAAATTGGTAGTTTTCTTCTGAATCTTTTGTAGAAATAGACGGAAATCTTTGTAATAGTGATGGTTTGACAAGCATTTAAAGATCTTCAAACATTATAATTCATAAATCAATTGATTGTAGTAGTGAAAGTAACATTAAATTATAAATAAATATCAACTTAACTTAATGACTATTCTTGGATTCATGACAATGGGAAAGTAAATAAAAAAAACAATTATCTCAGAGCCTCATTTCAGAATTAAGATATAATATTTGCATATAGTACTTTCATTATCATATGTCCTAACAACATATTTGTAAGGGTGATTAAAAGATAAGACAGAGTATCTGGTTGGATACACAATCTACGGTTTTACTCCTTAGGTTTGCTCCAAGATTAGTAAGAAAACAGATGGAAACTAGATTTCTTTTGTTGAATTATGAATCCTTTCAATATCATAGTTGAATTTACACTATGGCCAAAATAATCGTTGCTAGAATACTCAAATTAATGGGGAATTAGTAATTTTTAGACTTTGATAAAAAATGGCATTCAAATGGTTAAAATACTTGCTCAAGTCCTAAATAGAGTGAATGCTAATTTATGAAGTTCCCTAAGTTTACTATAATTACCAATAATCTTAAATAAATTACATTTAGTAATGATGAGGATCTGCAAGTAGAGAATACATTTAAATTTTCTTAACCAAATGAAGATGATAATTAAAGTTAACTGAGAAGATATAACAATTTATAAGGTAAACATATACTATAAAGCATTTATGATTTAAAAACTCATATTAAAATAGGTATGTCATTTATAATAACAAAATAGCACTTGATCTACAAAATCTACTACTAATAAGAAATATTTTATTAATATTTTTCCTTGACACCGTCAGGTTAAGAATGTTTTCTTCCGTATCTTTTTAATGAAGCAGAAAAATGCTTCATTTGGATGATCCTTTCAACTTTTTAAATTTGTTACCCACCATCTTTTATCGTTAAAAAATAATCTCGTCCTTTCCATCTCCAAAATAATGCTGAATTCTTTAATGTTAAGGAGGAAG